TTTTTCATTTTTAGGGGTATGCTTTTTTATAACCTTTATTTTAATGGCTCTAAAGATGTAAACAATAGTCTTTTTTAATTTTTTAAGACTAGAGAATCGATCAGGTTCAACCAAATAAGCGTCTTCCTTTATTGGTAGACACATTTCATGAAATGGTTGAGGGTTTAATTTTTCTACCCTTTCACCCGGCACATATTCGAGTTCTGTTTTGGGCCAATTTTCTTCTTCTTCATGAAGAAATTCAGGTCCTTTGAACCATAAGACATTATTGGCTAATTCGCTCGGAGGAATTCCCCTACTCGTCATATCCGCCGGATTTTCCTCGGTTCGGATGTATTTGACCGTATTTTTTCGAATAGGCCTTAAACGTCTTTCTATGAATGGTTCTTGCTCCGATGTGCTTTTTAGCCAATGAATGACTATTTGCGAGTCAGTCCATAGCGTCTTTTTATTAATTTTTATATCGAGCATATTTTCTGTGTACTCCAACGCTTTTGTGGCTAGTAAAGCGGCGTGAAGTTCCATCCGTGGAATCGTTAATTTTGCTTCGCATTTGCCAATTTGCGCTTTAGGCTTTACTCGGCTTTTAGCGAAAATCAGAGTCGATTCGATATCCGCACCTTTTTGAGAGCGGAGATAGATCGTGAATCCTAATGCTTTGTCTGAAGCATCGGAAAATGCGCATAATTGGAAATTTGTCTGTTTTGTCAATTTCCATGAAAGCACTCTTCTAGGAATTTTTATAATGCTACAATTTAAATATTCGGTGGCGATTTCTTCCCATTCCGTTTTTAAATCCTCAGGTAAATCATTGTCCCAAGGAAGGTTTGCTTCCCATAATTTTTGCATCAACCATTTTCCTTTTAGGAGAGCGGGTGAAATGAGGCCGCAAGGGTCAAAACATTCAGCGATAGTTGCTAGTACTTTTCTTTTTGTCCATTGCTTTTCCTCAGTCATTTTTGGTACAGGGAGTTTTAAAGATAGTGCATCATAGAATGTATCCCAAATTATTCCTAGTATTTTTTGTTTAGCGCTTGAATGTAAGTTCGTTGTTCTCGCTTCTATAGGAAGCTTATCAACAGGTATAGCATTCAATTGTTTGATCGCATTGGTAAATATTTCACGAAAGTTCCATCCGGCTTCCTGAAATATTTTTCGCGCTTCCAAGATATCCTTTTCAACTTCAGATTTTTCTTCTGCTCCGATTAGAAAGTTATCGACGTAACCTGCCTTTTTTAATTTATCGGCAGTTGAGCTATCATATTTTGCTAAATGATAGTCTACCGTCATTCCTAAAATGGAGGGAGAACAATTAACGCCAAAGGTTACTCGGGCATATCTGAATATTTTCAAATCCTCATCATTTTGGGACGAGGCTGGTTTTTTAACGTCCTTAACCCACAAAAATCTAACGCAATTTCGGTCTTCGTGTCGCAAGCTTATTTGTAAAAAAGCTGCTTGCAAGTCTCCTGCTATTAGATACGTGGGCAGACGACATCGCATAAGTAATCCGCATAAATCTTGTATTGTTACGGGGCCTTGGTGTAGACAATCGTTAAGAGAGGGATTATCCTTCCGGCTTTTTCCGCTTGCATTAAATACGATCCGGAATTTTGTAAAAGTTTTATCTTCTCTTACAACCGGAAAGTGCGTCAAATATTGGATTTGTCCACCATCATCTTGGTTTCTTGGTATTTCTTCGATGATTCCTTTTTCCACTTGGTCCGCGAATGTCTGTTCATAGAGCGCCAAATGATGTGGATTTTTCTTTTGTTTATCTTCTATTTGATTTAAAAGCATCGATTTAGCCATTCGGTAATTGCTAGGCAGTTTTGGACAGGGATCTTTCCATAACCAGCCAGCTTCATACCGTCCATTTTTAAAGGTTAATTTCGATTCAAATTCATTCCTTATTTTTTCATCTAATTTTTGATTAGATATATCATTTATTCCTATACTGTCTAAGGAATATAATTTTTCTAATTTATCCTCTAAAGTGTCATTGCCAAAATCATCCTCTTCGGTAATAACGACATTTGATCTATCAATTGAGGGAAAATTTTTATTATTGGAAATTTGTCCTTTTCCTCCAATTATGGGACCAATTGCGCTATCAGCGAGCCAAAGTCCACAATTCAATTTTTTCTTGCGAACTAAGTTTAGATCAAAGAAGTATTCCACCCCTAATAAAACATCAGGCTCAACTAAAGAATGAGGTATTTTATTAGATTTTAGATCTATATCATTTTCATCTTCAGGTGTTAAGACTGCAGGCATTTGAGAAATCAAACTGTTCAAATTGTCTAACTGGCCAACTTCAACAATCAATTGTCCTTTGGAATGTTTTTCTATTCCTAATCTGAATATTTCAGCATTAAATTCAATCACTGGGGAACGATTAGCAGGAAAAGGTTGGATTCTTTGAACTTCTTTTTGAGAAGTTTGCAATCCTAACTTTTGAGCAATTCCCTTCCTGATATAAGATTTCTGCGAACCACAGTCGATGAAAACGATTCCTTTATAATTTTTGTCTGGATTAGATGGATTGAATAGAACAGCTTCTCGGCAAAGTAGTATTCTTTTTTGTCGAGGCTTTCGTAAAATAGCAGAATTTTGTAAAACTTCTCCTTCTATTTTAATATTATTTTCTTTATTTTTGTAAGTTTCTTCACATAAAGCTGTGTTGTGTTTTTCTCTGCAGTGAAAACATTTAATCGGTTTTTTACAATTTCCTTCGTGTTCGGGTTTTATGCAAAATAAACATCTTTTTAGTTCGATTAATTTCTTGCGTCGCTCTTTAGCGGAGTTAATTTTTCGACATTCATCTCCCCAGTGGTTTTTCTTTCCGCAAAATATACAAGGGTATATTGGTGAACGTCTCCCCCCTTCAATTTTGTTTTTATCTTTTTCCTTCTTATTTTTTACTTCAACATTAGCAAGAGTTCTATTTAACTCTTTTTCTCTATTTTTGTTTGAATTTTTTGGTTCACTTCTATTTCCACTTTTTTCAGGTATTTTTCCATGAATTGAAAGGACTATTTCTTCCTTTTCAATCACTTCCCTGAGTGCTTTTCGAAATGCTTCAGTGTTCCAATTTATATTCATTGTTTTTGCTAATGCCTTCTTTGTTTGCATTTCTCTTAAAATTGGGATTGTAAGCTTTTTTTCTAAGCTCATCCAAACTCCTTGACCATTTATATTTTGATCATTGTTTTCTAAGAGTCTGCATATCCTTTCAAGTTCTATTGCAAACTTTCTACAATCTTGAAAATTTTGGCACACAGCTAAATTTTCAAGTTGTGAATGTAGATTTCTCGTATAGTCTTCTTCATTGCCATATTTCTGTTTAAGCAATTCTATGGCTATATCGTAATCAGTTAATTTTAAGCCTGCTATTAACTGTTTTGCTTCTCCAATAACACACTGCTTGAGTACAGCATGTTTAACTTCATCGTTTCCTTCAGCTTCATGAACTGTAGCATTATAGATTTGCCACCATTCAGGCCAATCTATATGCCTTCCTGAGAATTTCGAGAGTTCTTGTCTCGGTGGTTTAAAGCTAAAACCAAACGACTTTTGGCCGTTGGTATTATTCATCGTCAGATTCTTCTCTTTCCTTTCTTCTCTCCTTTTAATTAATTTTAATTTCCTTTCTGATTCTTTTAATTTTCTAAGCCTTTTTCCAGCTTCATTTAATGTATCATCAATTTTATATAGATTAGTCGCTTCATCATAAGCAGCTTCATTTAGTGGTTTTTCAATTTGAGTACTTCTTTGTATTAGAGATGACCATTTATTATTTGCCTCTTTTAAATCATTATAGGCGTCCGTCATCTCTTCTATGTCATTATTTAACAAATCCAGTGTTTCACAAACTTCTAATAGGTAGTCTGGATTTTCTTCTTCCTCCGGTTCTTTTGGAACCGGCTGGTCCAAAATTATCTGTATACTTTCAGCCGCTCTTTTTGTAGCGGATTTTAAGGGCTTACTCATTTTTATTTTTATTAAATTTTTCTTTTTAATAAATTTTTATTTCAAAATTTCTTTTTAATAAATTTTTCTTTTAAAATTTATTAACTTACAAATTTTTTTTCCCAACAATTCTAAACAATTTTTCCAATAATTTGACCAAAAATTCCAATATTTGAATTAAAGTAGCACAAAAACTTTTTTTTTTTTTTGTTGTTTCCACAATAATTTCAAATTGTTGTTTCCACAATTAGAATTAATTAATTTCTTTTTAATTAATTCGATTAATTTCTTCTAAAATTAATTAATTTCTTTTTAATTAATTTTGATGAATTTTGTTGTTCGGTTGTCGTTTTAGGCTTGAGCCCCCATGTCAAAAGAAATAGGATTCTTGGTTTCTTTTGATTTAAAATTTCTTCTTTTGAAATTTTAGTATAACTTCTTTTAATTAAAATTCCTCTTTCTTGGAATTCTAATGTAAATTCAATTTAATTAAATTTTTAATTTTTATCCAACAAAATAAATTAATTTAAAGCTAAAACAATTTAAAAAATATTGGACGATTAAAAGTGAGAGAGAAGACTTTGATTTTTATTGTAAAAATATAAGAATGAACACAAAAAGGCTGTTTAGAGATTTATTTTATAACAGCAAAAAGGAGATGGAGTTTTTTGTGTAATAGCCATTTTTTTTATTATAAAATGGAAAGATGAAGAATAAATGGAAGAGGAACAATTTATGAGTAATTGAAAGGTTAAAAGGGAGCATTAGAAAAATGAATAATAAAATTAAAGATAAATGTTTAAATGTAAGGGGTTTTATGGGAAAATCAAATTTTTATAGATTTTTATCTTTAATTTACATTTTAATCTTCTTCGGTCTTTCGACGTTTTTTCTTCGACATGGCAATAGTCGAAACACAGTAAATAATCTTAAAAGATCAATTACCGCTCATATGACTTTTCTCCTAATTTTTTTCCATTTATCTAAATATTCTCCATTTGTTTACACATACATTACATAAACCACAATTAAGAAATATTTAAACCGTTATCATTTTCCAATCATTCCTTTTTTGCTTCTCATTTTTTTTATATTTCATAAAATATTAAGAAATAAATTAATTTTAAATTTTAGTTTTTTATATTTTTTGGCTATATTTAAAAGCCAAAAAACAAAAAAGAAAGTTTTTTCATCGAATGCTACAAACCTGCTGTGCGATTAGTCGCAAACATTCCTCACAAGAGAGGAAATCCTCACAACAATCGTCAATTTCTGCCGATGAGCCTTCACCCACAGAAGACAAAAATCTTGGACTTTTGGACTACTCAAATTTAAATCTTGAGTAAGTTTTTTTTGTTTACTGGAGAATACCTAGTGGGAAATACCAATAGAAGCCTTTTCTCTTAAGTTTTGAGGGAGGTTGTGAATCTTGGTCAAACTATTAGTTGGGCAATGTCCTTTGAGAAAAATCCTCCCCCTTTTTCAGTTAATTCAAAGCACATCCATTAATATGTAGCATTTAATATTTTTTTATTAAATTTTCAATATCAAAATAAGTTTAGGATGGACCAAACCGGAGCCGAGTCAGAAAAATGATCGGCCGAGGTATATCCTTTTAGTAAAATTATTATTATATGTATATTTATTTACTTTTATAAATAAAAATATTTTTAGGCAATTTCCATTAGAATTAATTTCGACAGAAGATCGTTCTCTTGAAGAACTTAAACATTTAATTTTGGATGAAAATCAGTTAGACGAGCAAGCATTAGAATCATTACCAGAATTACCTTCATTGGAAACACTTTCATTGAATGGAAATTGTATAAAGAATTGTGGTGTTCTTTTACAAATTCTTTGCCGTAAAGCACCCCATTTAAAGTGCCTTAGTCTTATTGGAAATCCTGGCTGGCCTCATCCTATTTTAGGTGGTGGTAGAAATCTTGAACTTTACAAGAAATATGCGTAAGTTTTTTCTTTGAAAAATTTAAAAATAAATTATTATATTAGGTGATGACATAAGTTTATTAGAGGATGTAGATAGTAATTAAGAAATAGTATATTAGGTAATGGCTAGGATAATTATAGGCCCTACACCCACTCAAACTATCCCGAAACTGTACATAGATTTATTATACCGGTTAGACAAAACCTTCGAATGCATTATGTAGTCGGAAGGAATTTCTAATTTTTTTTTAATTTTCAGTTTGTCAGCTGTGCAACTGTTGCCAACCTTGCAGTTTCTTGACACAGCCCGTGTGTATTCTGGTGGACAAAATATTCCAAATTCAACAAATGCCGGATTACCATCTTCCAACCATCGGAAGCTTTTGGTCCCAGCAGTTTGCCGTGTTGTTTGAAAAAGAAAAAAATAATTTTTGGTGGAAAGATGAATTTAGAATATCAAAATTTGATAAAGAAAAATATTTGCACGAAAATTATAATATTTGGTGGAATTATCCATTTAGCTAACATTCCAATATATCCTTTTTATATTTTAAAATATACTCAAATAAAATAAAATTTTAAATATTCATTTTTGATTTCAATTTAAATTTTTAGAATCAAACTAAATATATATTTGATTTTAGCAATTTTTCTTTTCTAAAATATTTTTCAAATTTTTGATTTAAAATATATATTTTTAAATTTAAACCCGACTTATTTCAAATTACTTTTAATAATATGATGTAACTAATTATTATCACTGCACTTTAAAATTATTAAGCATTCAGACATACATTTTGAAATAAAAACATAAATAATTAGACAACACGTGTAGTTTTAAAATAAATTAAATAAATATATAAATGTTGCCCATCAATTTAAAATTCATTCGAAAAAATATTTTAAATTTTAAATTAAAATCCTTTAATTAATTTATTAAAATGAATATTTGTTTTATTTTTCTAATTATTACTTTATTAATAAATGAATTATTTTGTATCTCGGTTATAAACAGTCTGGATTTTAATAATTTTTTTAATAAAAAAATTCTTTTAAGCTGTAAATACTCATGGTTTATCCATATATAATTTTAAAACAAAAGAAAATTTACAGAATAATTCTTTAATAAATAATTCAAATATTAAATGTTTGTTTTAAAAAGAAAATAATTTTTTAAGAAATTAAATTTAAGTTAAAAAATTGTTTAACCAAAAAATTAAATACTCAAAGAATTATTGTTCTCCAATTAATGTAGTTTCTAAAGAAAATTGTAGTAAACCTTCTTCGGATGAGGAAATTAAAGATAATGAAACAAAAAAAGATAATAATAAAATATTATCTGATACTTCAAATTTAATTAAAAAACAATGTTTGTAAATAAAAATAAAGAAAAATTTAATTTATTTTTAGTGTTAGACCAGAATGATGTTAAAATTTTACTTGAAGCATATTCACATTCAGAATTGGTAATTAACTAACGTAAAGCCTATACATAGCTATTTAATTCCCAAAGCTGTGCAGTAGGCGGCGTGATGTAATGGCTAACACATCAATCCGGTCTACTGAAGACCCAGCCGTCGATTAACCTTTTGCTCTAGCTAAAGGAGAGAAATAGCTATAGCCCGGCTGCTTTACTCTAATTTTATTTAATATCTTTTCAATCTTTTTAATTTAAGGAATATTCTTTCAAAAAATTAGATGAAAAAGAAATAAAAATATTTTTTGAATTTCTTGATGAAAAAAAATCTAATAAAATAATTAAAGAACACCTTTCAATTTTATTTTCATTTTTCGAAAAAGCAGAAAATCCCCTCCTTCGTACACAAATGTCTTTATGGGTTTTACTTGTTTATATTGTAAATGCTTTGAATAATTTACAAGAAGAAAATGAATTATATCATCCAAATTTGGAGTATAGATCTATTTTAATATTTTATGAACAATTATTCAAGTAAATTAAAAAAAAATTTATTTTAATTCTTATCTTAAAAATTTAGAACAACAGAATCAGCTTTCTTTAAAGAATCAATTACTAATGCAATTAAATATATGCATAAAATATTTAATAACGAGTTAAATGAATTTTTTGATGGAGGATGTTATGAAGTTTATAAAGAAAAATGTTTTGAGTAGAACCAGAAAATGTGGAATTCTTAAATTAAATTTAAAAATGCTAAATTCGAGTTTATAGATAAAAAACTAACTAAACTCCCGACAAATCTAAATATTAATAAAATTTCTTTATGCATTAAGCTAATATTAAAGTAAACTTAATTCATGACGTATTTCAGTCAAACCAAAATCCCAATGGATCGAGTAAAAATTGTAACACTAAAATTTTTGTTAACATTTCTAATTAGAATTAAAGTTAAATTAATTGTTGATATTTGCAAACTTTTATTTAAATTATTAATACATACAACTAAAAAATAAAAATTTTTTTCTTAAAAAGTTTAAAATAAATTTAATTATCAAAAAACTAAGCCAAGAGTTAATGACTGTTCATAATCAAATTGAAAATCTTTCAAGGATCTTATAAGTTCTACCAGATAAGAAACTTTAGAAGAATGACGAATAAAGGCACTTTGTTCGTAAAACTGAGTTGTAATTGGTGTCTGTACAATTAACGGAATAAGTCCACATAAAAGATGATCTCTATAATAAATATAAATTTTAATGTAAATTCAAATATTTGTAAATCCTCTATTTACCTTAAACATAAAAGCATAAAAGAATTAAATTTTCCTTCCTTTCCAACAACAGAATTTGCTAAATAAAAATTATTAAAAACCATAATAAACTTTAATTTTACCTCCAATTTTTTTAACCATTTTATAAGCATATATTACCAAAGAACTGTAAATAAAATTTTAAAATAAAGCGGAAGAGAATTTTCTACCGCATTTCGCTAGCTAATTCATTTGCTTTTCCACTTCGAAAAAATTGAACAAACCAAACAAAAACTTCCTCTATATAATCCCACGGATAAATTGTTGGATGAAATATTTTTTGTATCAATCCATGTGAACTAAAAATTAATTTTTTTTAGGAATTAAAAAAATAATTCTACAAAATTTCATTAAAACAAGGCAACAATCCATCATTTGAACATAAAAGTAGACTAAGTTTTGAATTATTTCCAATATATTGTTGATGTTGTCCACATTCATTTTTTTCTAGAAAGTGTTTCATTAATGCATTGACTGCCATTACAGCTTTATGTTCTAATGATTGGAGGGTATCTAATGCTAATAAATAAATAAAAGATATTTTAATAAATATTACGAAAAACACCTAAAGTTTCATCCACAACCCTTCCACCACCACAATCAGAGGAATTATCAGTAATGCCAAACAGCCTTCTTTCAGAACTTGGCGATCTTAATCGACTTCTTGCTCTCGGTTTATTTTTCGAGTAATTATCCGAATTTTCGTAATATTTGTTGGTCTTTCTCGGAGATAAAAAAGCATTGGAAAATGCACTGTCTGAATAATTCAAACTATTTGAGTCAGTTCTTTCTTCTTGATCTTCATCAGCTGGCTGAAGTACTATTGCTTCTGCAATCAATAGTCGTTCCAATGCACCATCATCAACACCTCGACCAAAATAACGACGACACCTGTTTATAAAAATTTTTGGAACTTTTTTCATATACAAATTTGTTTCACAATTAATTTTCCTTTTTTGTCAATTACGGAAAGTTTCCTTCATTTTGTCAATTATGAAACAGAATTTTAATAACTCAAAAAAGGGTTGTCGTGATATATGAAAAAAGTACCGAATTTTTAAAAATTAAACACAAAAAATTAAAGAAAATATATACCGAAACAGGAATGTTTGTGCAGTAACACAATTGCGCACAATTACCTAAAACAACAAAATCTCAATTTATATTCGGTCTAAAATTGTTTACGTAATCTAAAAACCATTTTATTGGTCGATGAGTCGCTCGTACCGAATTAATTTTATGGCCAACACGAAGAGTTGAAAGTATCCCCAAATTCTTATACTTAAAAAATAATTTTTAAATTTAATTTAAAAACAAAAAAAACATCAAAAGTAAATTGTGTATTATTTGCAGGAAGAGAAATTTGTGAAGTAGAACCCAGTGAACCAGTTAACATAATATAAACAAAAGAATCTGGGAAACGATTTAAGCCGCCAGCCATTAGAACTTGATAACGCATTTCTTTAAAAAAATTTTTTAAAAATGTTTATAAAATTAAAGACAAATACTTATTGTTGGAAAAGCGTTGGTAAAGCAAGAAAAGTCAACAGCATTTAATGATAATAAATGAAGGAGAAATTGTTCACGTTCATCGTCACAACGAAGAAAAGAAGAACGTTTGTATAATTTCCTAAAATTTAACAAAAATCTAAATAATTGGAATAAAATTACTGGAGAAGTTCGGTATTTGAAAGTAACTAAATATTAGAAAAAAGAATATTATTAAGTAAATGAATTAATTTTAAACCTTTTTCAGATATTGGTAGAGAAGTTTTCGCTCGAGAGCAATTCTGACAAAAGCTAGAGCAAATCCAATATCTGTCTTGATCTATAAAACATTTAACTCATTAAAGATCTTTAAAAAAGGATTACCTCTGTCATTCTAACGATGTTTCTAAAATTTAATTTAATTTAAAATTTTAATAAATATTAAATAACTTTAAATCATATGCCATTGTATTTGGAAGAGGACTCAATGATCGTAACAAATCTCCACCTCCATATCCAAGCATTCCACGTGTTAATCTTTCATAAAGGCGTGAAGGACTGTTTGAACGAGAAAGAGAACGATTTCTGGAATGAGGCAATTTTTGTTGTTGACAATTTGTAAATACTCCAGATGCACTCAAATCTCTTCTTTTACGAGGTGTTGAATCGTTGTTGGAAGAAATTCTTGAAAGAGAATCCTCGGAAAATCGAGAAGCCAAATCTGAAAATATGAGTAAAATTAAAGGAATAAAGAGAAATAAAGCAAAAACAAAAAGCTATTTAGAAAAAGATCGGACACAAAATGGCAATTTTAAAATTAAGAAAAATAAAGAACCAATTCACCAACAAAATAAATGACATAAAAAACTATACTTATTAAAATAAAACCAGAAATAAAATTACACTAACTCCCTTTTCCCCCACTTTGATAACAACTTGCACTTCTTGGTGGTGTAGGTATTTTAGCAATAGATCTGCTTCTTCTTTCCTCTCCTTTAATATGTTGTTGATTATTAACTGCTTTAAGTGGACTTTGGAAAATAAACTTTCTATAAGTTTCTTTCGGCAAAACCTCAGAATTTACGTTCTCCGATTTTTTATTAAGTTCATCTTCTTTTTGCTCCTCTTCTTCAGCAAAGCCAGAACTTTTTCTTCGTCTCAATAATTTTGGGGTGCGAAGCTTCCAATTCGGAAAC